AAGGTACAGAAGGCTGGTGGGTAAGCTTAATTACCTAACCATCACTCAACCTGATATCTCATTTGCGGTTAGTGTAGTGAGTCAATTTATGTAGAATCCTAGAATCCCACACTGGGAGGCAGTCCTAAGGATTGTGAGGTATTTGAAGGGTGCTCTAGGTCGTAGTTTGTTGTATAAGAGTGGAGGAAATCTTGAGATAGAGGGATACACGGATGCTGATTGGGCCGGGTCCATATCTGACAGAAGGTCCACTACAGGGTATTGCACTTTTCTTGGTGGGAACTTAATCTGTGCCAGAGGAAATATGTTCTTGATTTGCTAGAAGAAACAGGGTTGTTGGGTGCCAAACCAACTGAAACACCTATGGAACTGAATGTTAGATTGGGTAGTGATACAGGTGAGGAGTTTGAGGATCCGGGAAGGTACAGAAGGCTGGTGGGTAAGCTTAATTACCTAACCATCACTCAACCTGATATCTCATTTGCGGTCAGTGTAGTGAGTCAATTTATGCAGAATCCTAGAATCCCACACTGGGAGGCAGTCCTAAGGATTGTGAGGTATTTGAAGGGTGCTCTAGGTCGCAGTTTGCTGTATAAGAGTGGAGGAAGTATTGAGATAGAGGGATACATGGATGCTGATTGGGCCGGGTCCATATCTAACAGAAGGTCCACTACAGAGTATTGCACTTTTCTTGGTGGGAACTTAGTGACATGGAAGAGTAAGAAGCAGACAATGGTAGCAAGAAGCAGTGCAGAGGCTGAATATAGGGCTATGGCTCACACGACATGCGAACTGGTGTGGTTGAAGCATCTACTAGAGGAGATGGGATACTCGATTGACACTCCTATGAAGCTATACTGTGATAACCAAATTGCAGTTCATATCTCCTCTAATCTAGTGTTTCACGAAAGGACGAAGCACATAGAAGTGGATTGCCACTTTGTACGTGAGAAGGTGCTTAGTGGAGTGATAAGTACAGCATATGTGAACACAAGAAATCAATGGGCAGATTTGTTTACCAAAGGGTTGAATCGGGGAAGAGTGGACTACATATGTAACAAGCTGGGACTATATGACATATACTCATCAGCTTGAGGGAGAGTGTTAGAGTCGGTTGTACAAGGGTAGTACAGTCCTTTTATGTTTATATGTACTGCTCAGCTTATGTGACTCTCACTTAAGTGAGGGCACAATGGTAATCCTTGTATATCTTAGAAGAGTATAAATAAAAGAAGGGCTGACTAGAGGGTTTTTCTCTCTAGTTCGGTTGTGACTTTTCTCCTTCTTTTTCTTCTCTTTCTTCTTCTCCTTCTCTCTCTCTTCTCCTTCTCTTTCTTCTGATCTGAACATATACGAACATCTAATATGAGTTTTATCAAAGACAAATGACCCAACCAATTATGCCAAAGTATAATCTGACTCACAGGCTGAGAGACAAAAGACCTTCCAACTTCTTTATCTTCCCCATGTCACCCTCCAATTAGGTAGGTTCCATTCGTCTCACGGTTAATCCCAATCACCTTCCTCGTCTCTAGATCCTTAAAAACACATCCATCAGGGAAAAAAGTTACTGAACAATTTTGATTTTTAGTGATGCTACTAACTGACAATAGGTTAGTACTAAGTTTAGGAACATGCAAAACTGAGAACAAGGAGATGGCATCCGATAATCTAATGTTTCCCTTCCTAGAGATGGGAACAAGAGATCCATCAGCAATGGATACTCTATCTCTGTCACAGGATAAGCAATAAGTAGTAAACAAAGAAGATAAGCCTGTCATGTGGTCAAATGCACCTGAATCTATGACCCAACAAGGCCCATTATTACCTAGGCCTAAAACATGATATGTTGATGCCCATGTACCTGAATGAGCAAATGCCGAAGTAGGAGTAGCAGATGTAATCAGCGGCTGAGATGAGGGAGTTGAAGTACCAACTTCACTTTCTATCTGAGTCAGAGCAGCCCGGACAGCAGCTAAAGTGTCTAGGGATGTGCCTCTTGTGTTGGAAGAGGGAACACCATCAGTAGTAATAGCCACATTGGCATTCCCCCTTTATTTCTGATATTTGCTGGCATTAAATGAGGATATAATTTCCAACAAGTGTCCTTGGTGTGCTTCGGCTTCTTACAGTGGTCACAAACTAGGTCATTCTTATCCTCCTTCTTTGTGTCCCTTTCCTTGTCACCCCCAAATTTCGATTTTATGGCTGTCAGGACTGATTCCATAGGCTGAAACTGCAACATAACCTTCCTCTTACTTTCCTCACTATGCACTAAAGAATAGGCTTGAGATAAGGTTACACTCTCCCTTGTGAGTAATTGTTGTCTCACAATATCATACTCTGAATTCAGACCAGCTAGAAATTCAAAAACCCTATTGGTCTCAGCTTGTTTTCTATAGGTTTGTGCATCCTTCTGACTTTCCCACTCAATAGTTTCTAGATGATCAATTTCATGCCATAAGGATTTCAAAGTGGAAAAGTAAACTGAAATCTGCTTCTCCCCTTGTTTGAGATTATTTACTTCACATTTCAGTTCATAGGCCCTAGCAACATTGAGAGGCTGAGAGTAGGTTTCCTTCATCACTTTCCAAATTTCCTTAGCTGTTTTTACCCACAAATAATTGCGGCTAATATGAGGCTACATAGAGTTACATAGCCAAGTCATGACCAAATAGTTCTCTTGAACCCATTTGGCATATGAAGGGTCTTCCTTGGCTAGTGTTTTTACATCTCCATTCACATAACCTAACTTCCCTTTGCCCCCAATCGCCATCATGGCTGACTGAGCCCATTCCAAGTAGTTAGAACCATCAAATTTAACAGTAGTGATCTGAAAATTGTTTTCTCCCACATTTCCAGCCCCCAAAACCCCTTCCCCTTGAGTCTTAAACTCAGCTCCTGCCATTTCTGTAATAGGTTTATCAAGAGAAACCAGTTCTCAGCAAAGGGATTCCCCCAAAAACAGGTTTAGAAGCTGAAACAAATCTAGAATTCACTTAGAGAACAATCTGAAATGCTGAAACAGATTTAGGAATCACCCAAAAAGTGATAAAGATCAGGTCTGATCGTGAGGTTAAGGAAAACTTGGAGAAATCTTTGTGAGAACAGAAAACAATTCTCAGCCGCACCTTCCAAATAGGTTCACAGCCAAGTCTGGTCGAAGGGTTAAGAACAAACCCTAGTAAAACTCTGAGAAAATAAGGGAAGCTCAGCTGCTCCTTCTAGATAAGTCCAACCTATCTCCGACTGATGCTGGTCTCAAGAAAAGATAAAAACATACCTAGAAAACTCTGATTTCCACCTCCAATCTTGGTCTGAACCCTAATCTTGATCCTTTTATCCTTCTCTGATTCTTCCTGATTACCAAAAAACACTCTCCAAGCCTCTACAAGCCTTTGGACAGCTGCTAAAACCTTCTGGTAACCTCCAAGAATCAGCCGATGAACAGTTATTGCTAAACTTCCAGCCCTAGGAAATTCTCATGTGGTCGGCTGGATTAGACACACATGAGAAGCCCTAGATTGGCTCTGATACCAAGTAGACAAATCCGGACTGTAATCAGTCCAATTCTTGATGCAGATTAAGAAGAAAAAAAAATACTGAAGAAGAAGAAGAAGAAGAAAGAAGAGAGAAGAGAAAGATGAGAGAAAGGAGTGATAGGCCTTAGCTGCCGCCCCACTCATCTATTTATAATAACATCAAAAAGTAAGATGGAAATTACATTAAAGCCCCTACTGCTTATATAAGCAAATAACTAATAAACTAACATTGCTAACAACAGCCTAACAACAAATATAAAAAGAACTAAGTAACAACAGTAGTGGGGACCACAATAAATAAAATAGCAGCACTAGTTATTACTCTACATCTCTACAGTTGTCCACATTAAAGCTAGCCACTTGTTTTCCTCTTGTCTTGCATGAAGGCACACATGAATGCTATGGCTGGTGGCTTATCTAGATTGGGGTTCAACTAAGAAGAAATGTATGGTGCGCCCTCATTGCAATTTTGTATGTTTGTACAACTTTGTAACAAAGTCATGTTTTGTTGTTCATTGTCTATATTGTACATCTTTTTATTTTCCTTACCACCTAATCTTTAAAATAGCATTTTATTTGCTGCCAAACTTATTGGAACAGATATAAGTTCATATAATTATATCTCTGTTGTTGCAAGTAGTTGTTATTGTTATGGTTGTGCCTTGAATTCTTTGTCACAACCCGCTTCATGAATCCGCTCCGAATTAAGTTGAGAAAACCCAAAGGCAAAATTTCATAGTGATTTGTGGTGGAAGTGTAGCCTGTAGCCTACCACTAACCACCATTGGGCGGTGTGGGGGGCAGAGCCCCCATGGCAGTACGGTCCATTTTTAGCTTATGGGTCTGAACTGAATACGAAGAGTTATGTATTTTGGGGATTTTCTCTCTCGCATACATTTTTTGTTTTTGTCTTTTTCTTGTGAGAGAAGTTGAGAGACTTTGGGTGTGCTTGGGGTTTAGGGTTTTCTGTGAGTGAGGTTGTGAGTGCACAGCTCTGTATTCTTCTCCATTGTTGATTTCATAGTGGATTCTGCTCCTTCACCCGTGGACATAGGCTGTAAGCCGAACCGCGTAAATCTGTGTGTCCTCTTTGTTTACTTTATCTCTGTTTTTTATTTTGTTTTTTGTGTGCCATTCAAATCTGTATTTCTGGGTTTTCCACAACAGTTATCAAATTTTAGAATGTTCTTATGAAACCCCCATTGGTACTGATAAGTAATTCATCAAAAAATTTTATTTTTATTAGCTGCTATAGGTTTTCCTAATTTCAAATTTAAATTTCTCTGGCCTATTACTATCCTATGGATGCAGTGTTAAGAATCATAGTTTATAATTCTTTTTTTTGGTAAATCGAATTATATTTTATAATTCCTGATGGAGAAGAGTTGGGTGGCAACTTATTTAGTTGCTTTGCCCTTGAATAAGTGATTCAGCCTCTGGGTTTGTTTCCTTTTACAGGGAATTCATGGTGTCCCTCCCATTCCTGATGGTTATAATCCAGCAACCTGGATGCTTGAGATCACTACAACAGCTTCTGAGCTACGAATTGGTGTAGACTTTGCAGATATATACAAACACTCTGATCAACACAGGTTAGAGTAGCTAACATTGTCTTTACCTTTTCAAGCAATGATCAAGAGCAGTTCCTCATTTGATCGCTTATTCTTATATTAGAATGATCATTTTAAAATAGAAAGCTGACTTCATACAAGATTATCTATAGGGAAGTGGAAGATTTGATTAAGCGTTTGAGTATTCCACCCACTGGTTCTGAGCCTTTGAAGTTTGATTCCAAATATTCACAAGATATCACAAGTCAATTTCGGATTTGTCTTTGGAAACAAATGCTTGTATATTGGAGAAGTCCCCGATACAATGCTGTGCGTTTATTCTTTACTACATTGTGTGCATTGATATTTGGTTCAATATTTTGGAACATTGGTTCAAGAAGGTGCTTCCTTTTATCCTTGTTTATTTTGATGGCTATTTTTCATATTTCTTGCTTATTTCCTTTACTGTAATTGAATATTCTTCTGGATTTTGCTCTTACAATTGAATAATGTTAGTTCTTTCTTTCTCTCCTGTCATTATGTTATTTTAATAGATGGACTCATAGATGTGATTATAATTATCAACAAGGAATTGTCAAGAAGCAATTTCTCGAAGTCAATATTTTGGAGTGTTGGTTTAAAATGGTTATCTTACTATGTTTCTCACTAGACATACAAGTGACGAGAATTTCCAGTTACAGTAGGTCTACACCAGATGCCAGCACTCTGCTGACTCTTTTTTTGGCACTAATCTGTGTAGTTAATGTGGCTGGGAAAAAGCTAAGCTTTTTGGCCTGGCAAGTCAATGCCTAAGGTGACAAAAAAATAATATACATAGATGTCATATAATTACATGCTAATTATACACTATTAAACCACAAATTAAATCAATGAATGATTAAAGTGCAACTTACACCCGATTCTCAGAAACAATGAAAAGTGTTTTGAATAACCTACCTAGTTTAAAGGAAAATCATACATTCAGATATGAATATTAGGACACTAGTTTTTTCTTCTCTAAACAGGTTTCTATTGACTTGTAATGGGTTAGATACCATACCATCATATAAAGGGGCATATGTTAGTTATTTTCTCATATTAAGATGTTTATTATGTGTATAGTACTATCTGCCTTGGTGGTTGCCTAGGAAATGTGCCTTGAACATGCCTATGTGATGCTTTAATATGTTGGCACTGATTTTGGTGGTTGCCTAGGTATAGTACTATCTGCTTTAATATGCTTTAATATATATATATATATATATATATGTCCAGAAGGACCAATGAAGGAGGATCAATGCTCTAATGAACTTAAATGATAGATCTTGAAGTTCCAACATATTGCATTTGTAGAGATAGTTGTTAGTTGTTAGTATGTGTGGTCCCACTAATATCTTTATATTTATTTCATGGTAGTTATAGCAGTTAGGATAGACATATTTGTTTTATATTTATTTCTGTTTCAGCAGGAGTATTTTTGTTACTCCACTAATGTTATGTTACAAACATATAAATACTAATCTGTTCTAGGTTGGCTCTGATACCAACTTGGATAAAATAAACCAGAAACAGTTTGTTTCTCTGATATAAGTTCAGTAGAAAAAGAAGAGAAAAGAAAATCATGAACAGAAGAAAAGGGTGCGGTTAGGTTGACTTGCTGCCCCATCAGATTAGTATTTATATGTTTGTAACTTAACATTAGTGGAGTTACACAAATACCCCTTCTGAAATAGAAATAAATATAAAACAAATATGTCTAGCCTAACTACCACAACTACTATGAAATAAATATAAAGATATTAGTGGGACCACACATACTAACAACTATCTCTACAGCATTAAAATCTATGATAGCCAGAAGTTATTGGGAACATTTTAATATAAGAGTGATAGAGATTCTTTCTTATTAACCTTCATTACAATAGCTAAAGTGGTTCTTCCATTTTATCTGAAAATTTGAAATTGTAATGAATGATGAAATGAGAGGAAGGAAAATAAGGGAACAAGATATGATTCCTCTGGGTGGTGAATATAATGTTGATACTTTTTCTTTGTTTTTGGGTAACCAAAGCCTCTCTTTGGTTGAGTTTGAAAAAGGGACAACAAGAAGTTCGCCATGACCCAAGCGGGTGGGTAAATTATTGGTCCTAATAGTTTAATTGGTCTATGTAGAAGGAATTGCATAATCATGGCTTTCCTTTCTTTTTATTCTATTGTTTCTTGAGCACACGGTTTTAGAAATGCAATAGAATTAGTAATTAGCATGTCCTAAATATTTTTCAGGGACACAATAGAGGACTTATTTGTCATTATGGCAGCTCTTTATGCCTCCTGCTTGTTTCTTGGAGTCAATAATGCTTCTTCAGTACAACCAATAGTTTCTATTGAGAGAACTGTTTTTTATAGAGAAAAGGCAGCTGGAATGTATTCTCCATTACCTTATGCAGCAGCACAGGTAAGAGAATGGATATTGGATAAATGTCGCACTTTTGTTTTTGTATTAATGATGTATATTTATTTCTTTTGTCAACAGGGTCTTGTGGAAGTACCTTACATTGCCTTACAGACAATATTATTTGGTGTGATAACATACTACATGATAAATTTTGAAAAGACAGTAGGTAAAATTTGATGCCTTTTTGTCTTATGAGATCCAAAACTTACATTTCCTTTTCTTTTTCAACTTTGTCCTTCTCATGTTCTTCCATATCTTAGTATATTTTGAAGATAATGGCCTAAGGATCTCCATTATAAAATTAGAAAAAGTTTTCATGATTAATCTACAGCCATTTACATAAACTCATCTTATTTATTTGAAAGCTGGATCTCCCCCAGGTCCTCACCCAAAATAAATAAATCCCAATAAAGAATAAAGAAAGAAGTCACTATACTCCTTTTCTCATATGCTAGTGCAACACTGTTCAGTGATGTAGAAATTGAAATGAATCAGTCTTAACTTGGTGATGAATGAATAAAAGATAGTTGTCAGGAGTTCCCTAAACATTTCTCTCTTGAGGAGTTTGTAGAATTATTTTGTGTGCAAAAATATTGCAGAATTATCCTTCTACCTACTGATGTTATCATCCCTTTTAGTTCTTTTTTAATTTCATTTTTTTTGGAGATTCTGTTTTAATTTTTGTCTCTGGTATAAGGACATCTGTAATTGGTTAGTTATCTTGGCCAAAGCAAGAGGAAAAGAATTTATGTATGGCTAGTATATGTTTGTGTGTGTGTTGGTTAGGGTTAAAAGTATATAGAGCTTTGCTTGGTACAGAATACCGAGATCACCTAGGTTGTGCTTGGTTTGACAGAAAATAAGAAAGTAACAGAAAGTTGAGGGGAAGTTCTTAAGGAATTTCTTGAAGGAAGAGAAAGATGAACCATGCACATGCGCATGCATGATGCATGCACGGACATGTTTATAGAAAAGAAATAAATATACATCATTAATACTTTAAAAAACAAAAGTGGGTAACCAATTATAGGAGTCTTTATAGTAGAGGCAACAAATAAACAAAATGTCAAAAGAAAAAGAGTGGGCCTTATTGAAATTTTGAACTGAAAAATATGAATCAAGAAGTAAATTTCCTTGAGTTTATCAAATTTCTTGGCACAAGCTTCATTATTACATTTTCCATTCCTGTTTACTTCAAATAAAACTTAGTCAATTTTGCAGAAGTTAATTTATGAATTTCCTGTTCAACTTAAATATAAATAAAAATAATTATCTTTCTATACATAATGATAACAGGTAGCTGTCAAATCCTTTGAGCCTTCAACCCTACTATACTCAAAATACAAGGAAACCATCTTTTTTTTTCCTCACCCCTTCTGCGCTATTTTTTATTAAACTAGTCAATATGCCTGATTTGTATAGAAGAAAGAGCAGCCCAGTGCACAAGGCTCCCACCACTGTGGGGTCTGGGGAGGGACATTGTATGCAGCCTTACCCCTGCAGATACAGAGAGGCTGCTTCTAAGCCTGATTTGTATAGAAGAAGGGGAAAAAAAGAAGCAATGGATTGACAAGCACGCATCTTGTTTTGCAGGGAAATTTCTGCTCTACATTCTATTCATGTTCCTCACATTTACCTATTTTACATATTATGGAATGATGGCGGTTGGTCTGACACCGAATCAGCAATTTGCTGCTGTTGTTTCTTCAGCATTTTACTCATTATGGAATCTTCTCTCAGGTTTTCTTATTCCAACATCTGTAAGTAATTATTTTCTTGGGCTTCACCAGTTGACACTGCACCTCTATTTTGAGGAAATAGATAATTGGTAGAACTCCATAACCCCTTACCAGTCTGCTTTATTCCTTTCCAGAAAATTCCGGACTGGTGGATTTGGTTTCATTATATCTGCCCTGTTGCCTGGACATTACGAGGTGTCATAACCTCCCAGCTTGGTGATGTGGAGACTCATATTAAGGACTCTGGGTTTGAGGGATCTGTGAAGGATTATCTGGAGATTGCTCTTGGCTACAAGTCTGGAATGGTTGGTACCTCTGTAGTAGTGCTCATTGGATTCTGTATATTCTTCTTTTTTGTCTATGCCTGCTCTGTCAAGTTCCTCAACTTCCAGAGAAGATGATGAAACCGGCCTGCAGAAACATGGTGCTCAGTAATGTAGAAATTCTCCATTTGGTAAATCTTGACATTGAGATCGGCATGCATTACAGTGGGATAGCAGTCTGAAACTCTTCACAAGATTATTTATTCATTGTGCCACCCCACCGGGCTTCAACTCCCAGAATAAGTTAGTTAGGCCCTTACCTGATATATGAAGTTTTCGGAAGGGTCACGGTTTCCAATCTGCACAGGTTTCTTCGACATTTACAACACTGCCCACCCCCATAATGTACCCATTTTTTCATTCCATTCATGAAGACTTTGAAGGGCGATCTTCTCAATGGTTTAAATTGTTTGTCATTATGCTAATCTGCTTGTTTACATGTAGAACTAACTCAGGCCAACAGAGTATGTCCAAAATAAATAATAAATAAGAATCAATGTAGTAAGTCTGCAAATGGATGGAATTGAGTGAGATTGCTGGATCCAAATTTGATTCATTTATATTCAGATACAAATCAAATCTTATCCATAGGATGTATATACTGGACTTGAATCAAATTCACTTAATACAAATTTTGCACCCCAAAACTGATGCAAAATTTGCACCACTTGCCTCCTGCCTCAATTTTCTCTCGTATAAAATGGGAACTACACCAACAAAGAGACATTTTGTGGCTTGTGTCAATACGAGCTGCTGGGATAATGCTTAATAAACCTTATTGGTACTCAAAATATAAACTAATAATTAATTAATTTTTTATTTTTCTAATAATGCAGTTTTTTGTTTTTTTAGTTTGCCTGAACTGACCCTCCTCATGTTCTTTCTTGAGGAAAATGGGTCAGTTCAGGCTGGGTCCCTATTTCCAAAAAAAAAAAAAGCTGGGTCCAGGCCTGAAATATATGCTTGGGCCTACCTGTACATGGGCTTGGGCCGGGCTAATCTTCCAAATTCATTTATATTTATATCTTGCCTTTTTGGCCTTTAAGCTGCTACTCAACGAATTGGAATCTGCTTTTAATAGAACTCACCTCAGACGGACCTCACAGCCCCATCTTACCGTGTATTAGGAACATCTCCTCATGAATAACAAAATAAAGGATGACTGACTTCACATGCACATTCTATCATGCATTGGGAATATCTCCAGTACTTATAAGTTATTATTCATGGGAGATGTTCCCAATGCATGGTGGATGTGCTTGTGAGGCGCCCCTGTGTGAGGAGTAGATCATGTTCCGTTTAATATACAGTGGGATGAGGCTGGGAGGAGACTGGATCTGCTCCACTCTTGGCATCTCACAGGCGCCTCACACGCACATCTTATCATGCATTGGGAACATCTCCCGTATTTATGAATTATAATTCACGGGAGATGTTCTCAATGCATGGTGGATGTGTCTGTGAGATGCCCATTCGTGAGGAGCAGATCCCATGTCGATTGGGAGGTGCATTCTGTGAGGAGCAGATCCGGTCTCTCTAGAAGCGAAATCTGCTCCTCACAGGCACATCCACCATGCATTGGGAACATCTCCCGTGAATAATAACTAATAAGTATTGGGAGATGTTCCGATGCATGGTAGGATGTGCATGTGAGGCGCCAGGTGTGAGGAGCAGATCCGGTCGCGACTTTCTAATCGCTATCATTACCTCGAGGCTTGCCCAAATTCCACGTGGACCGTGGTGCCATATAGCTGAGACTAGGGATCGATTCCCGCCTTAAGCAGGTGGTCCGGTTGGAGTGGAATTAGGGGTAAATGGGAATTCAGGCGCACATTCTTCTCCCCATGAATTCGGGAGATATTCCAAATATGCAGATGGATGATACGTGCGCAAAGTTTTTGTGGGCCCGTGTTGGGCTGATTGGCAAGTGGTAAAAAGGGTTCATGGAATCATGGGCCCAGTGTTTCCCGGCTCACGACTTTGGATTTCCTCCAAGCCGACGGTCTAGATTTTCACTATCTCGGTGACAACGAGAAGCGTAGTATTTACTTCGCGCCAATTTGGGGACGTAGATATGTCGTTTCAACTGCAAGACCTCGTAAGTGACAAATATTAAAGATAGGGAAAGAGGAAGAATCTGCACTGCAAATCTTTAAAACCCTAACCCTAGTTTGAATTTCCTCACACGGATGCCCCACTCTCTGCAATTCTTCTTCCCTGTATATTCTTTCAAACCTTCTACAAGGAGCTCAAGCAGGAGTGGTTCCAATGCTCGACTTCTCTGCTCCTCTGAACAATCCAATGCTCGAGGAGGAGGAGCAGAAGAAGAGGTTCGTGAGAGAAGGTACTCATGTGATAATTTCCTATATTTTTTTTTAATTTTTCTGTAGCTCTGTTTGATGGGACTGCAATTACGGATCCCTCGTTGTCCTTCGGTGCATCGTAATTGACTAGCTTCAGCTGGTATATATCATCACACAGAATGGATGGAGTTTCGGTTGCAAATGGTAGAAAGTGAAAGCAAATTAGTCGGGTTTTTGTTTTTTCAAATGTTTTGTTAGGCTTGATGTTGACGAATTATGTGCTCTGCATGTTTTGTTACTACAGAGTTCAAGGGCCAACGGATGTGGTTTTGGTAGAGAGATATGGCAATGGTACTGCAAAGAGGTCCTTACTTAACTTCTGTTTCTCTTGGATGTTTTAATTTTCCCCCATTTTATATCCATTTAAGGTTTTTCTTGTTATCTCCTAGTTTCCTATTAGTCTCATGCGGTCTGGTAATTCTGTTTTATTTCATTTTCTTTTTTATTTGATTGAAAATAAAATGTTCTGTGGAAAAAGTAAGATTGGGGATGTGATTCCTTATACATTTATTCCAGTATTTACCTGGCACATGTAAAGGATATTCCATATTGTAGTATGGATGCCTAAGTTCGTGATAATTTATGTTGTGGGTTCAAGCAGGTATGTGCTGGGCAGTGATTCCCGAATACAGACTTTCTTGGAGGAGCATGAACCTGTTAAAAATGAGTTACAAGAATCACAACCCTCTGATGCGGAGTTATCATGGCTTCCTCATGTCCTAAAGGATTTTATCTTACCTGCAGGATTTCCAGGTCAAAACTCAAAATAAAAAATGCTTCATCTCATCAGTTCCTTTCTTGTTCCTTTCGGTAATTTCTTTATTTGTAGGAAGTGAAAAATAGACAAATAGGACATAGATCCAGTGAGATAGCAGAGTAAGCTTTTCTTTTGGCTAAAAGTTCTGTCTTGTTACTTGTTCCTCAAAAATTTGTCCAATCTGTGGACGTTACCCAATTATATTATTAGTTTTTTTTTGTTTGCTAATTATATTATTAGTTGAAAATTGTCCTATCTGCTCGTAAGTTCCCACAGATCCTTGGTGTACATGGGGCCTCTGCATTTCCTTTCTTTTCTATACAATGTATGCTTTATCTTTTTCAAACAAAAAAAAAGTTAAAATAAACATTTGAAGTTCCAAACAGAAATTGCAAGTACATAGGCTTTAAAAAAGTGATTAGGAAGAACCTCTTTAATCTTTTCCTTTTTAATTCAAGCTAAAGAAACTGTCTTATCCTAGTTATACTGTGTTTATTTTAGGGAGTTTATAGCACTTGTAAATGGCAGAATTTATTAACATATGTTTTTTTTGATAGATAATTAGCATATGTTTATATTATCATATATGCATTATGTGCTTATGCATTTTGGTGTTTATGTGTGCTCATGTACATACATAATTACATATATGTTTTTATATATTTGGGTTGTTTTTGACTTTGATATTACCTTCCAAGTGAATCCTATGGATTGAAAGTGTTATGTTGATTTTGGTCTGTGAAATCTATCCTTGAATCTCCAGCTTTGGTAATAGATGGAAATTAGCATCAACAACATTCAGAATTCATATCTGCTTTTAATTGTTATCTGCAAAAACGAAACAAGAATAAGAAATCTAGTACAAGGGGTTACTACTAATATTTGAAATGATAGATGTGTTATTCCAGCTTATAAATGTTAGGATCCTATTATGCATGTTGGGCATGCTTTTAATGTTCTCATTTTATGTACAACGCAGAATCAGTTTCAGATGATTACTTGGAATACATGCTATTGCAGTTCCCAACAAATGTTACTGGTTGGATCTGCCACACATTAGTGACATCAAGTCTCCTAAAGGTTACTTAAATATCAACCAAACCCTATATTTTGTTTTTGTTTGTTTATGTGAACTATGGAAATAAGTTGACTTCCATTAAATGGTTATTGATGGAATTCCTGAATGTGTTGAACTGTTCAAGTGTCATCTTAGACACGAAAGAATATTGCAATTTTCCGTTAAAAATTATCCATTTTTGTTATTTTTTTTTAATTTATACTAGTAACACCAATCAAGAGAATACTATCTTTTAGTCTCTGAAAAATTAAATGATTCCTTTTACAATTATCGTGGATTGCGAATCACTACCAAATCTTAGGTTTCTGTAAGTTTCCTTTCAAAGAAAAAACAGAAAGAAAGGTTATCAACCAACCTACACCTACAACCAAATTAAGATGCAAACTAATATTAAATTGCTCCAGAAGTTAGTACTCTCCACCCTTGCCAAAATGCTCATAGGTTTGTTGCTCAATCTAGAAATATCAAATGTTATATTACCAGGACACTTATAAAGATGGACTGGTGCAGTGGCACTATCTCTGACATTTTCTCTCCTTCAAAATGCCCCTCTCTTTTTGCATGTCTACCATGCTTGGGCAGCATTGATTGTCTGGGAGCCCGGGACTCACTCTAGTGACTAGACATGGTTTTCCACACTTCAGAGGTTCTGCATCATGATTCATGCATTTCATTTTTTTAGTATCTATTATTTATTTGAAAGCCTTTTGAACTCCTTCATGGACTGTGTTCTTGTTAAACGTTATCCTGCACATGATTAATTATCTGTTTTCTAATTAATTTTGGTGATGGTTATACCAGGCTGTAGGTGTAGGATCTTTTTCAGGAACCACTGCTGCTGCCTCTGCTGCTGCCATCAGGTATTGTTCCTTGACCTAATGACTTTTGAGAAGTGCTTTTTTCCATTAAGAGACATCTTCCTTCATTGTTGGCCTTGAGTAATAGATTAATTTACAATGACTTGAAGTATCTATTTACTGTTTTAGATGATAAGAATAAAATGTTATTTTGTTTATTATAATTAAAGGGACTAATACATAAGTTGTACTAGCATATGTTTACTTGGAGTTTTTTTGGCAGATGGGTGTCAAAAGATGGAATCGGTGCCATTGGACGCCTATTCATTGGTCTGGCAGTCATGAAAGAAGATAAAAGAAAGAACTTGGTTGTGTGGTGAATGTATTCAAGCTGAGAACCATTCCTATATTTTCCAGGTGGGCGGTATGGAAATCTCTTTGATGATGACCCAAAACAGTGGCGCATGTATGCAGACTTCATTGGAAGTGCTGGAAGGTCCATATAACAACTCGTTCGCTTAAATAGAATAAGTGAACTTGATTTTGGAAGTCACCAATGTACTAGACTGATGGAAATCTATTATGCAGTATCTTTGAGCTCAGTACACAATTGTATCCAGCATATTTCCTTCCTCTTGCATCTCTTGGAAACCTTGCCAAGGTATCCCTGAACATAAAGTTAATTCTTTGTTTTGATTTCCTTTTAATACCTTGTAACTTCCAAATTTCAGTGGCGTGGATTCTTTACTAAGAAGTATTGTATGCTTTCAAGACTGATGATTTGATAATACTATTGACTATTTTTATTAATTCAAATATTGAGATTGCTGTTGCAAAACCAAATAGGATTAGGAATGAGCATATTTCTGGGCATCTAATCTAACGAGTAATACCAAAAGGTATTAAAATGATGGGAGTAGATTAGTCATGTCCATAGATGACCATCTATGATTACTAGTAGGACAGAGTGATCTGTTGCGAGTTGAAGGCTCTAAAAGAGCTAGGTGCAGGCTGAAAAGAGCATGGTTCAAAGTAATGAGGTATGGTTTGGAGTTCATAATTTTGAAATGAACATGGGGCTGAATATAGCAGAATGGCAGAGTAGAATTCATTTGGCCAACTCCATATAGTTGGGACAGGGCTTTGTTGAGTTGAGTGTTCAATTATCTATCAGAAAAAATGCACATTTTGTTAATAATTTTTTATAACTATCCATCTTTATGTTGAGCATGGCCATTTTTATAACTATCAATCTTTATATTGAGCACAACCAAGGTGATGGAAAAGAAAATCATAGGCGGTCATTAAATGAGTTCAGAAGAGAAATCAAGGTTGTGGTTGGAGATGGCACGAAGATAAAATTTTGGCATGACATATGGTGTGGAGATCAACACCTTAAAAGAGATTTCCCCTTCTCTGTATGAGATTGCACAAAATAAGGATCGTGTGATAACTAAAACGCTTTCTCAGGAAGGAAATCCAGGTGAGTGGTGTTGCGCATTTAGAAGGAATCTGAATGACTGGGAGGTAAGGCAGTGGATGGAACTAGTGCAACAAGTCCGTATCATCACACTCGATCTGTTAAGGGTAGATAAAAGAGTTTGGAGGGGGAATAAAGCAGGAATGCTCACAGTTATGCCCTTTTGTAATAGATTGAATGAAGATGCAACGGAAAGCTTCCAAGAGGCCAGTGTATGGAATACCTTCACTCCTCCCAAAGTTGCATTTTTATGTGGACAACAACTCTAGGGAAGTGTTTAACAGTGGATGAATTGGCAAAGAGAGAACAAAGGGTGGAGCCCAGCAGGTGTTTAATGTGTGAGGAAGCTTTTGACAACCTGGATCATCTTCTTATTCATTGCAGACTAGCAAGGAGTTTATTGACAACCTGGATCATCTTCTTAGTCATCCTTTCTAAGGTGCTCGCAGCTAAAAGGCTTATCTAAAGAAGGAAATGTCATATGGAGAATAGGGCCTGCAACAGTGGTTTGGAGAACACGGACTGAAAGAAACAAGAGGCTTTTTGAAAATAAATAAAGTACAGAAGAAAATTTGTTGAAAAGTTTATGGGGTTGATTGTATTCATGGGTAGGAACACATAAATATTAAAGGGGCAGACCGTATAGTTCTTTTTTTTTTCATTTTAGCTCTCTTTTTGTACCTAAGCACACGGAATAGAAAATTTAAAGAAAGGACATGGGCGCTGCACAGTGCCTTGTCGTGCAGGGGGTTGTAATCTTTTTACTTTTGACATGAGTAATACAATATTTACCTTTCTTTCCCAATAAAGATAAAAAATTGCTTATTGCATTTGATATAAAGAATCAACTAATGCTCATTTGTGTTTGATATTTAAACAGGCTGTAGCAAGAGGACTCAAAGACCCTTCATTTCGTGTTATTCAAAATCATTTTGCCATTGCAGGAAATCTAGGAGAGGTTGCAGCAAAGGTATAATAGTAATTTGTTTCTTCTGTATATGCTATTATATGTGTACTGTTATATTATATGGTGTTTTTTTTGCTCAAACGATTATGTAGTGCTATTTTTGTGCTGGAAAGAAAATCCCCTCCTGTAATATTTTTTTTTGTCACATGGATTCATTTGTTATTGTAGAAAATTCTGTTAGTCAAGCTTCAAGGGCAACCATCTAGATGTCTATAAATTGATAGATTTGTTTTTATCCCATAAACTTTGGAAATTACATACTATGGGAAGCGGATATTTTTATTGTTTTATTTGGTTCATGATTCTCCTGCTTAAATATTTCATGCTCGTCATATTTTGACTAAGGTAGCCAAGGTTGGTTTCATTTAAAACTCAAAGATACTGTACTGTTGAGTTTCTATTGCTCAACTCAATTAATCCCTGTCCCACTGTCCCAACTATATAGGGTTGGCTACTTGAATCCTGTTATGCCATTCTGCTCTGTTCTGTGCCACATCTATTGTTGAGTTTCTGTAGCATCTGTGAAAATGTAGACATTTTACTTGAATCCTGTGGTAATTTGATCACCATCACCACCATCTAAGCCTTGTCCCAACTATATGGAGTTGGCTACATGAATCCTGTTTCGCCATTCCATTTTTGTTAAGTGTCATATACACTCATGAGTTTAACCATGATAATTATTACAACTTTGTATATTGCCTTAGTTTCATTAAAATTTGCTTTCCATATGTTCAAAGGAAAGTCATTACAGTACAGAAATTGGCATGGCTTTTGAAGTTAACGCATGAATTCTCATGCTTAATTCTAACATCACAAAGTTTTTTGATGAATCTAATGTAAGGTTTACACTTGAAAAATGTATTTATTTACTCAGTTTGTCAAAATGCTAGCTCATGCTGGTCTTCTCTTCATATTAACAAGATTGGTACTTAAGGGCTAAAAGTCTGATTTGAAGGGATCTCTTGGTGAGATCCTTACCTTTGATGTGATAGTCCCCCCCAAAAAAAAATTAAAAAAAAAAATAATAATAATAAATAATAATCTAATCTGAAGGTTTTCCAGTTTTTGCCTAGTTCAGACTTTAGATGTTATGCTAGCTCTCTCCAGTAAGAGAGCATTCACTTTTGTAATGTTTGTAATTTATATTTTTATCTTAGTACCCACTAAGTCCTATCTTAAAGTATTTCAAATTAACTGTCTCAGGAGGAAGTTTGGGAAGTGGCAGCTCAACTGCTTGGTCTTGCTATTGGAATATTGGTCTTGGTATCTCTCTATCCATCTATATAACTATTTATATGCACACACATCTATAGGGGTGCAACTTTGGCAGGCTTCAGTTGAGCATGTGTATAAATTTGAGTGGGCCAGGCCAATTCAGTGTGAGTTTTTCAAATTAGATACCCAACTTGTACCCCTGTAATTGCACTTATTAGGGGTGGATTCGAGCTTAGTCAAGCCGAATAGTACGAGGCTCGAGTTTGGCTTAAGTCAAAAACTTGTAAGCTCGAGCTTGATTTGAGAAAAAATGTTTTATAAAATTAAAAAATTATATATAAAAAATATTTTTTATTTGATATTTCAATAATTAAGAATTATAATATTTTTATTATATATATTATTTTCTATAATTTTATTATATATATTTGAGCTTGGCTCGAACCGAGCTTCGAGTGGCTCGTGAAGAGCTCGGCTCATGGCCACCCCTAGCACCTATACACATGTACATATATTTAATATTCTGAATTGTTTTGTGGCATTGGCGGGAGCCTCGTGCACTGAGCCACCCTAATTTTGTTGTGGCATCTTTAAGTTGCCTAGGTCATCTTATTTACTTTTCTAATGACATGTTCCATTCACTATCATAAGCCTGTTGTCTGATTATTGGTTGGATGTGTTTAACGAAGTTGAAGCCATAATTGCAGGATACACCTGGCTTTGTAACATCATATTCTACATTGGCATTAACATGGTTGAGCATTAGACTGCTGCACCTTTGGTTACGTTACCAGTCACTTACCACTCTAAGATTTAACACAGTAAGAATATATTATTTGCAGTTTTTTTTTTGCCTAGGCTGCAGTCAAAAGAGCATTTTTCTTGTTGAGAGAGCACACAGAATTTGATTCTTAAAGTTCTACCTTGTAACCAGTAATAGTAGTAATTACAACAACAGCAAAAAGAGCATGAAACATGTGGATGCTGGCATAGATCTTTGCATGTTTGACTTGTGAGTGTATTCTTTCTTCTTTTTATATTTTCTGGCAGATAAATCTCAAGCGAGCTCGTATGCTTGTAAATTCACACATTCTGCATTCCACTGTTCCAGGTACAGTTATATACCTTATATGGCCTCTATTTTCTTTTTCTATTTTTTTTCCTCTTTATGATGGTCGTTGAATGGATCAATACAGGATATATTGAATGTAATAGGAAGGAAAATATTTTATCCTGGCAAAGATTCATGAAGCCACACATTACCTTTGGTGTTTCTTTGGAGGAAATGCTTGGTGGGGAGAGATCTAGTTACATGGTATCTTCTCACTAAATATCTGCTATTCATGGAAATCTAGTTTAACCATCTAAAGCTATAGAGTAAGGTCAAGGTCATGTAAGCCTTAACACCAGAAGAAAAAAGTTGTGTAAGCCAGACCAGGAACAGTTAAAAGATTTTCTTGCAGCTTGCAAACAGATGATGCTAAGCATCAAAAATCAACTCATGAATCCTTTTCTTTATACATATTTGTGTATTATAAAGCAACTGAACCTAGAAAAAATATATGAAGTTGAATACCCTAATGTGGCTAGCAATTTTTTAACATTTGACTGGCAACAGTGGGGGATTCATAGCCACATGAGGGTATTCAACCACTATAGGACCAAAATCCATTACTATAAATAAATATATATGTACTGAAGAGGTAAATATAGATCAAAATAATATTTATGGAAAATATGGGATTGCATGTACAATAGAACCTATTTACACTAAGGCTTTGTACTATGGAAATGATTATACAAAATCAATTACTATATTGGGAAAAGGCCAATTCCTAGAAAGTCATTTATAATTGCAACATTTCTTAAGAAAAATTAACAACCAATAAAGGTGAAAATGGAAAATAATGACATATGCATGAGTAAGTTAAAGAAGCCTCATCCAACTATTTGGTGTTTGGCTGCAGAAATCTTGTTTTACATTTCCACTCCATCAAAGGCCACATTTTCTGTTCAAAGTAATTGCACTACTATTTAGAGAATAGGGTTCAGATTATGTTGCAACTCACTCTCTTGCTTCCTGTTTATTCACACATCACTAGGGTTTATGTTCTGGATTTTAGAATTTTAATAGACATCCTTCAAACAATCTGAAATAGAGAATTGTTTTCTGCAGTTACCTTAAAATTCTTTTTTTTTTTTAAAAAGTGAGAGTGCAAACATCCAGACCTAGTTAAATCTAAAACAGGTTATAATTATCTTAACAACAGAATTTAGGGTCCTTACCGATGGTCCTGGCTATCCAGAGGCTTGGGAGGGGTAGGGGTATTTGAGACTTAGTGACCTATTCCAGACTTGAACTTGCATTCCTAGGTTTGATGGCCTAAGATTTTACCATTATACTAGTAGTAAGAGATTATTAAAAAATTGATATAATTTTCTCTTATAAGAAAGAATTACTAGTAGTAGATTATTAAGAAAACCATTTGTAGGAGTGGAAAATGAACTAGAATGTGGCTATGTTACAACTTTTAAGCTCTCAGTACACCGGACAAAAAGGTTGTTTCTAACTCCCAATGTTTTTCTTTTTATAAATTTGTTATTAATCCCAATATTCTGGACTTGGAACAGGCCAAGGCCCTTTTGAAGTTATATGCAAGGGAGAAATATATTCTTGCCATGAACCAAAACCAACAGAGAGACATTGAGGTTTTTGTATCATTCAAGGTATTAATGATTTATTTTTCAATTGTCTCTGGCTATTTTCAGGAGCAAAATATTATCTCCCGTGTAATTGATCATTACATTCTTTACTCCAGGTTGGAGCCACAAGTCTATCAGTCTTGAGAAGCATATGGCAGACATATTGGCTCTGTGAGCACTTGCGTGCATCAGGTGATGCATTTCATCAGCTTGAGCAAAGTCTCCTGGCGTTGGAACAGAGGTTTGAAAATTTCCTTAAACAGTTGGAGGGAGCCGGATGGGATGTCCACCACATAAAACTTAAAGTTCCTAGGGAACTGCTCATTGAAGAAGTGGGTTCCACTGAATTCTCCATTAACCATTGATTGGACTATGTTTTCCATTCTTTGAATGATCTTGTCTCCCATACAACCCCAGAGTACGGTTGGTAGAGTTGATAGCATTACATTGTTTGCATGCAGGCAGTGAGGTACCATTTAATGGAACCCACCTAGGAGCTATCCTGGTCTTCAATGCCCAAAATGGACCCAGATAGCAGTAATGGGTCAATTAGTGGTCTTTGAGATCTTCTAATGGGATCCATCAAATGGTGTGCCACACTCATCTGCAGGGTAGCCACGTTAACCTTTCTCCAAGATGGACTTTTCTTTTTGAGAAGATGGTTTTATCACCCATGAGGCTTGATAACTTAGGAATTTCGTCTAACATGAAAGTAGGAAAATGCTTAAGCTGTTTATATGGTTTCGCTATCGTATTTGATGCGGCACCATCGTTTTCTTCTTTTTTTTTAACAAATAAAACTTAAAATTAACACAATTAAAAAACAGTCTAGATACACCACAACCATCTCAGAGGATATACATTTTATTCTTCGAGGCCATAACCTTAGCAAACTGAGCCAACATCAGCTCTCCCATCTGTTTCTATTAATATGGTCAAATCTAATATTATAAAAAAAAACTTGGTCTAAGATACTTAGGCCTAAGTTTTATGTTGAGGCCTGGCCTGCCGTATATACGTACACAAGTACCACAAGGCATCACCATCATCATTCATGCCTTGTCCCAATTATACGGAGTGGCTACATGAATCTTCATATTCACTTTTAAGTTACTAGTGCCTAAATCATTTCTTACTACTACCCATGTCTTTTCTGGTTTATCCCGACTTTTTTTTTAACTCCTTAAATGTGTAACAAATCACTTCATCTAACTATAGGTGGTTTCTATGTGCATGCCCAAATGATCTTAGTCTACTATTAGAGTCACTCCTAGGTTCTTACTGAATTTTAATTCTAATCTTATATTTTATATATTTTTCACCCCTCCATTTTGCCCATCCGTCTTAACTTTTTGGGTAAAATCCTCCTCAATCTTTCTCTTGTTATTAATTATTGAACCAAAGTATCATAAATTATCACACATGAGTTATCTATTGGTCTCCAATCACAAGTGTTTTGATTTTTTTTATTATTACTAAATTTATGTTAAAACCTCTTGTTTCTAAGACATTTATCCATAAGCTTAATTTTTTATTTAATTCTTCATTAGTTTCATTAATTAAAGTACTATTGAGGGATAACAAAAAATTTTGGGTGGAAAACATATTTATTAAAATAGCATGAAAACTATCACACACATACCCAAACACCCTTGAGATTATCAACTAAAGTACCAACTTATTTTAAGCCTTTTATTAGAAATCTAGACTAAGGTTCAAAATAGCGATACGCCCGATACACTAGTAGTATCGATAGCTTTTATTAGAAATATAGTGGTGTGTTGAACGGTATTGATAGTTTCTTTTTTGTCTTTTTAATCTGGTTCAGAGGGCCCGGTTTAAGGTCTGTCTACCCTTGGAACCGGTCGAGACCCTGAAACACACCCTGCAGGGGTGTATTGAGAAGCCCCCGATATGATACATATTGGCCGATACGGCCCAATATGTATTGATACTTGGAACCTTGACCTAGATTTCAAATAATCAGCAACAAGGGACTGAAAGTCTTTTTTCAAGACCAGCTTCGCGAGCAGTAGCATTTGACTCCCTTCAGCACCACCGGGACTTCAAAATTTTCCCCGCAATTAAAAGCTTTATATGCTTTGACAGAAAAGATCAGGATGACAGTAGTCTTTTTCACCAATGAAGCAAGAAACCAACTGCTCCAATTTATTCAAATCGTAGTTTACCAAGACCATGGCTTCAAGAATAACCTTATTTTGGCAAAGAGGGGAAGTGTTGCAAAACAAGAACTAGAAGTACATTGCAGCCCACTACAGAATTTTAAAATTATAGCCCCCCATAATCTACTAGTACCCCCCCTATAAATTCTATCCTGACTGGATTTGGTAACAATCTACTGTCAGGATTCATCCCACCTGTATAGTGATGCTAAGAATTCTAAGGTGGACTGAATAGTCATTCTCCCAACAAAAGCCACAATAAATCCCGACAAGAAGCTTTGTTGGGATTTGAAAAAACACCATCAGTGTTGATCTACCATTGGAGGTTGCAAAAAAAGAGGTTTTGGTTTCGTTTGTTTTAACCTTGAACATTTATCTAACATCAGCCACCAAATTTGATCTCTCTCCACTTTTGACCTGTAAATATAATCAATAATAGCAAAGCGATTAGCATCATCACCGTTAAAGTAATAAAGTTTCTTTCTAGATTTTCCAGAGTTATAAAGATGTCTGCAATGGCCTCCTTGTTCCACTTCCCAAGGGATTCGAATAGGTTGTGCAGCCAATTGCCAAGAGGAACACTCTTGTTTCGGGTTTAGGCCCACGTCATGTATGCATCAAAATTCATGTCAGATACTGATTGGTTAAAAGTCTTACACTATCGTACCCTTTTGGCATCATTGAAATTTTCCTATTTTTACAAGTATCCTCTAGAAAAGATCACCTATCCAATCTTATATTCTCTTTGACACTTGAAGGGGAAGAAAATGGAAGTGAAAAGAACCAATAAGACACTAGAATAATCAATAAGTGGCGGTGGCTCCTCGTCAAGCAATCAAACCTGCTTTCTTCTCTTTAAATTTATGGAAATTGTGTAAAATTCATCATGACTTTTCAGCATTTCTCTTAAACTCACAATAACTTTTTAAAACATATAGGGAACCCTATGTCAATAACTTTATGTTAAGCAGATTAACAGGTGTTGGTAGATTACCATTTTACCCTTTTATATTTAACCCAATTTTCAGTACTCCAAAAATTCCTGTGTTATTATTCGACCCAAAACCTATTTTTCACCTTCCTTGGAATATTTTCAAGCAGCACAATAAGGTAATTGGGCGCTTAAGGGCATTTTAATCATAAAAGTATGTTTAATAAGGCTGGCTTGCCTTTAAGGGGTAGTTTGGTCATGAGAAATGCATTTATGCTGGTGTGAGCAACTTCTGTCAATGTACACTAACGGTGATCTTACGAATGGTGAGTTTAAGAGAATTGCTAAAAAGTCATAGTGATTTTTAGATAATTTCCCTTAAATTTAAATGCTGCATGCATGGTTTAAAAGTATCGATTTGTATATGCATCGATTTTGACGCATAGCAGTATTCAGCATGAGTGAATGGCTGAAACCATGTCATTCCATCCATATCAACAATAAGATGCATGTATCAGTCCGTATTGAATCTTTATTGGCTCGTAACTCGTCTCATTCTTTCTTACATCACCAACTCATATTTAAGTTCTTATTTAAAAGGTCTTTCCATCTCTTGCTAATTCTTCAAATTTTCAAAATAGTAGAATCTCTCTTCCTAGAAAAGTGACCCACACCTCACTTGTATTGTCGTGGCAACCCCAACCATAGGATCACCTCAAGTATGAGGAAGTTCTACCATTGGTGCAAGCTGATTTTACCTGGTCTAATTTTCAGGAACCACTTTGTTGTAAACTAGATAAATTCTTATTCTCTTCAAACTAGGAGGAAGTATGGGGTGGTTTGGTGATGAGGGCACTACCTAGACCTACGTCGGATCATTGTCCAGTTAGACTATCTCAAGAAAGACTAGGAGGCAAGGTTCAAAGTATCGGAAATGCCAAGTGTATCAGAAAGGCAATTTTAAGATACATATCGGGATACACTTTGGATATGCACGTGTATCGGAGAAAAATTAAGATACACATAGATATGCTTGGAAACACTATAAATACTTTAATAAATCATAAAAATAAATCAAGAACACTAAATATAAGACCTTAATGAGGTGTATATACATTAAATTAATATATTTTAATGGTTTTATGAAGAAATATATTATAGCTAATTATAATTTCATTAAAAATCCTATGCTTAACTATAATTTATAAATTATAATTCTTAAGTTTTAATGTTTTATGGGATGAGAAANAATAAACATTATATAATATATTCAAAAAATAGTTATTAAAGAAGAAATTTCAATTGTGGATTTGATAGATCATCTATAGAATTATAATATATTCAATCATTGTGATCAAATGATAAAATATAATTAATTAATTTTTTTTTTTAATTCTAAAAAAATAAAAAATAATTATTAAAAGAAGAAATTTCAATTGGTCAATGGATATGATAGATCATACGTAGATTTATAATATCTTCAAATGTTATGATTAAATGATAAAATATAATTAAATATTATTTATTTTTTAAACTCTAAAAATATAAAAAATAAAAAAACATATTAAAGAAGAAATTTCAATTGCTCTATGGATATGATAGATAAATCCATAGATCTAAAACATATTTAGTCTTTATAGGCAAAGAAAAACTTACATTTTCAATTTTTTTGTTAATTTATATTTTCCCCAAATATCTTCATGAAATTTCCATAAAGCTACTGATAGCACAAAAAAATTGTGATTTTGAATGTAATAAATGTAGATCAACATAAATTTAACCATTCAAGAAAAAAAAGAAATCACAAGATATTATAAAAGATTGAAAAATTTACCTATTTTTTTCATATTTTTTCAAAATTTGAAAAATCTTTAAAAAGAATTAACGATTCACACTTGTTTCTTGCAAAATTTTGCAAATTTAGCACTCTATGAATGAAGCTTGGAGTTTTAGAGTCATTTTGGGGTGAAAGAAGGCTTATTTCGGGGAAAAGAAGCTTGCTTTCCCCCTTTAATCCTGCAAGTTTTTTGTCGTATCTTTTTCGTCGATGCGCTACCAATATGCCCCGATACACCCCCGGTACGCCCACGATACGCTCCCAATACGCATGAAAAAAGACGAGACGTCCAATTTCCATGCGTATCCAGTATTGGTTTTTAAAAGATACGATATGATACGCCCCGTATCGGGCCTATCTTATCGAAATTTTAAACCTTGCTAGGAGGAGGACCTTGCCCATTCAGATTTGAAAACATGTGGTTGTTACATCCAGACTTTCGAAAGAAAGTGAAAGAATGGTGGGAAGAGGATCAGGTGGAGTTTAGGTGGAAGGGATATAGGTTTTATAAGAAGTTGCAACAACTAAAAACCAGGATCAAAGCTTGGAATAAAGAAGAGTTTGGTAGAATTGAAGACAAAAAGGAGGCTATTAGTAAAAGGATTCAAGAACTTGATGTTGCTGAGGCAGAGAGAGGATTGAGGCGTGAAGAAAGGGAAGAGAGATGGAAGTTGAAACAAGAATTGGAGGAAATTCTCAGAAAAGAAGAGATAAGTTGGAGACAAAAATAAAGATGCAAGTGGTTGAAGGAATGAGATGGTAATACAAGATTTTTCCATAGTTTGGCAAGTGGAAGAAAGAGGAAGAACATAGTAGAAAGCTTGGAATGGAATGAGGCGATGCTGACAAAAGAGGAAGAGATTGCAAAAGCTTTTATAGAACATTTTAAATCCATTTATGACAGCCCCAGTAGAGCAAGAGAGACTCTAACTGACTTTGAGTGGCATGTTGGAGAAAGGGAATTGTTGGAACCCCTGGAAAAACCGTTTGAGGTTCAAGAAATAAAGGAGGCGGTTTTCTCTATGGAAAGATCAAAAGCCCCGAGCTCGGATGGATTCACTATGGCTTTTTATCAAGACTGTTGTGGGATATCTTTGGTGATAACCTAGTGGAGGTCTTATTGGAATTCTTTGAAAGAGGAAAAATAAATGCGGGTGCAAATGCTACTTTCATAGCTTTGATCCCTAAGAAGGTGCTTGCAATTCAGCCCAAGGACTTTAGATCGATCAGTCTGATGACNTGATCCCTAAGAAGGTGCTTGCAATTCAGCCCAAGGACTTTAGATCGATCAGTCTGATGACCTAGTGGAGGTCTTCTTGGAATTCTTTGAAAGAGAAAAAATAAATGTGGGTGCAAATGCTACTTTCATAGCTTTGATCCCTAAGAAGGTGCCTGCAATTCAGCCCAAGGACTTTAGACCGATCAGTCTGATGACCTAGTGGAAGTCTTCTTGGAACTCTTTGAAAGAGGATAAATAAATGCGGGTGCAAATTCCTCCTTCATAACTTTGATCCCTAAGAAAGTGCCTACAATTCAGCCCAAGGACTTTAGACCGATCAGTTTGATGACCTTTGAAAGAGGAAAAATAAATGCAGGTGCAAATGCTACTTTCATAGATTTGATCCCTAAGAAGGTGCCTGCAATTCAGCCCAAGGACTTTAGACCGACAAGTCTGATTGAGAGTCTGTATAAGATCATTTCTAAAGTTCTTGCACTAAGACTCAAGAAAGTCCTTCCTTAATCTCACCGAATCAAGGAGCCTTTGTGAAAGGGAGACAAATTATTGATCAGGTTTTAATTGCCAATGAATGTATGGATTACAAAAAAAGAAAAGGAGAAAAGAGTGTGATCTGTAAACTTGACTTAGAAAAGGCTTATGATTTAGTGGATTGGAATTTCTTGCTAGAAGCGCTGAGGAATAAAGGTTTTGGGGAGAGATGGTGTAAGTGGATGAAGGGTTGTATTACCTCTTGTCACTTCTCAATCTTAATGAATGGAGTAGCTAGAGACTTCTTTCCTGCAAAGAGGGGCCTTAGACAAAGAGACCCTTTGTCACCTTTCCTCTTCACCTTAGTAGTGGATGTCCTAAGTGTCTTGATTTCTAGGGTTGATTCAAGAAATCTACTAAAATGATGGAGAGTTGGGAGGCAACAAGTGATTGTCACTCACCTACAATTTGTAGATGATATCATTCTCTTTTATGAAGGGGAAATTGAGGAGATGGATAATTTGAGATTGGTGGTGATGCATTTTGAGAGAGAGTCTCTAATATAAAAATCAATTGGAACAAGAGTGTTATGTAATGGGGGTGAATTTACGGGATGATGAAGTGCAGTTGGTGGCTAGGGCTTTAGGTTGGGAGGTAAGTGGTTGGCCTCTGGTATATTTGGGTCTGCCCCTAGGGGGAAATCCTAGAACAAAAAATTTTTGGTACCTAGCTTTAGAAAGATTCACTAAGAAGCTAGCAAGGTGGAAGAGAAATTATATCTCACTAGGGAGTATAATCACTTTAATCAAGTCCACTTTGACCAACCTTCCGGTGTATTTTTCGTCTACCTTTAAGCTTTCTGCCAAGGTTGCCAATAAGTTAGAAAAGCTCATAAGAGATTTTCTGTGGGAATCAGGTGACTCAAAAACGAACCATTTAGTGAAGTGGGAAGTAGTTTCTAGGAAAAAGGAAGTAGGAGGTATAGGCATTGGCAATATCAGATTAAGAAATATAGCTTTGTTAGGAAAGTGGTTATGGAGATTTCCTTTAGAGCATGACAGTTTGTGGCACTTGGTGGTGGAAAGTATTCATGGAATGGTAGCTAATGGATGGGATGCTGGCATCGACCCTAGGGCTTCTCATTTCTCCCCTTGAAAAGCAATTACTGGAGTCTCGTCTTCCTTTCAACCTTTCATTAAATTTGATGTGTGTTTAGGTAATAAAATTTTGTTTTGGGAGGACCTTTGGCTTGGGAACACCCCGCTTAAGGATTGATTCCCGGTAATGTATTCTCTTTCCCTAAATAAATTCAAAACCATCTCCTCACTTCATGTGTCTGAGGAGACTTGGGATTTGGGTTTGAGAAGAGGGTTAAGGGATTTAGAATTGGTTTCTGCAGATGAGTTATTCACTGTGTTGAATTCAGTTTTTCTAGATCTTTCCCACCTAGATAGTAGAATTTGGAAAGAGTCATCTTCAAGGACCTTCTCTTGTTCATCTTTCTTCAATGCCTTAGTCTAGTCTTCTTTTGTGTCTATCTCTTTTCCTGCTAAAGAAATCTGGTATTCTCCTCTACCGCCAAAAGTTAGGGTTTTTTGCTGGGAAGTGGCTCTTAAAAAGATCAATACTATGGATGTACTTCAAAGAAAAAGGCCAGACTTGCAGCCTTTCCCCACATGTTTGTTACCTTTGCTTAAGAAATGGTGAGACGGCAACTCATCTTTTGATTTCTTGTCTTTTTGCTTATTATTTGTGGAATTGATTCTCTTCTTTGCTTGGTCACAGATGGACCCCCCCTAGGTTTGCTGAACCTTTTTAACAAGAGCTGCCATCCTATGGTCAATTTGGGAAGAGAGAAACAATAGGATCTTCTTAGGGCAAGAAAAATCCAAGGAAGCACTTGTGGAGGTTGTCACCATCAAGGTTATGCACTGACTGAAAGTACATCATCTCTTCAAGGATTTCTCCTCAGCAGACTTAATTAGAAATTGGAATGTTATAGCTATTTCCTCACCTTCCTCCCTTGTGGTACAAGATTGTTGGGTATCACCGCCTCAGTTCAAGGTGAAGCTAAACTTTGATGGAAGCTCCTTGGGTAATCCAGGTCMGTCGGGAGTTGGGAGTGTGTACAGAAACGAGGAAGGAAAAGTCTTAGCCCTTTACTCGGGCCCAATTGGGGTGGGAGATTCATTAAGGGCAAAAATAATGGCCTTATTTCAAAGTTTGAATTTGGCGAAACAATGGGGCATGCAACAATTAGAAGTGGAAGGAGACTCCAAGCTGGTAATAGGGTGGATGCAAATTAGAAACCTGGGAGTGTGGTCTCTTAGACAGCCATTGAGAGAGATTATTAGCTTAGCAAGGGAGATTGGGGTGCACTTTATTGGGTAAGAAGGTCAGTAAATGGAATGATTGACAGTTTAGCTAAGCAAAGAGTTACTAAGGAGGCTTTGTTTTGGGCCTGTTTGTAAGTTTTTTATTTTCTTTTTCCATCATTTTTTTGGGTGGTAAGCCTGTAATCTTTTTAATCTAATGAAAATTACCGTTTCCTATAAAAAAAAATTATTATAAGCTTTTACATATCCCATGGATTAGGAACTATTATATCATTACCCTCTTTTTAAATCTCGATTTACCAAAAAAAATCTCAATAAATGACTTAGAACAGTTTGGATAAGGATGCAAACCAACCGAACGTTGACGTAACTCAAAAGGTCAACAACATCAAAATTTTGATCAACTGCTCAGATTAAGAAACCAATTGAAATGATCTGGAATTCATCGGTCCCCGTGCCTAGAATATTTTAAGTTTATTGCTATTACCTTTCACTTGTTAACAACAAGAAAGCTACAAGAGATATTTTGTGGCATCCTTTCTTTTCTTGCTTTTAAAGGGATTGGGTTAAAAAAAAAAAAAAAGATCAGTCGCAACGAGGGGAGGTCTTTGTAATATGAAGGGAGGTTTAAATCTTTTATCCTATAAAAATTAGGAGTGCAATTTTGGCAGGTTTAGGTTAAGAGTTTGTCAAAATTTGAATGGGCCCAACACAGTGCAAATTCTCGACCACGAGTACCTGACTTCGAATCACTACATGCTTCAGATAGTCATAATTGTATGAGTCTTAAGCCTATAAATTTTAACCCTTAGATATTTTCTCTTCTTAGAACATACCTATGAGGAAAAAAACTAAAAAGTACTTAGTTATTAAAATTTATGTATTTATGAACATTAACAAGAATTATACTAGTTTCCTAAGAATTAGGGAACACATTTTTAGCTCTATCATTTTTCAACATTTCCTAAAGTTCTTTTTTGTGTGTATATAATTTATAGTAATTTGAGACCTATATTTAGTGTTATTATATATTTTGGGATTTATTTGAGTTTTCCTAAGGTATCCATGTTTACCCATGCATATGCATCTACAATATCAACAGGATGATCATTATGATGCATTGATGCCTAGAGCACACCCATCCAATCTCTAGGTTCTTAAGTCTGACTGAAGGCATGGAGGATCAAAATTTATGGACTAGAATCAAGAATCTTTAGGTTACCCACAAAGGGAATCTCTCAAATGGTGTTCCAGTCCAGAAGCACTTTTTATATGTATAAACGCGTCTAGTCATTCATATGCGCCTATGATTTTTCCATACAGAGGATAATACACAAACGATCCTTTCACAGAACTTCTGGTGTAAGAGTATTTTACGGGCTTTGCACTCTCAGAGCTTTGAATGAAAGATCACTTCTTACAAAATTTCAAGGCCCGAACTAGAATTTGCTAGCGACTCTAGAATTCTTACATATCATACAGTAAATCCACCTGGCTATTTCCACTATAAACGGCAAAAGGAAAAAATAAATAAAAATGAAATTGATACCCGAACAATTAGGACAAAAAAATCTGCGTTGTTTGTGTATGGATGCTTTAGCCTTGTTTCCGGTTGTATTCTCCCATGATTTTCTGGAACTCTTTCTCGCTGGCTGCAATCAGACCTTTAACGGTGTCGAAGGTGGTTAGCCTAATACTGCAAAAAGATAAAGGTTCATGAGTCAACAAACCAGGAGGAAAGCAAGGGCCCTACTGCCTGACAAGGTTCAAAGTATCGACACGTATTGGCCCGTATCGTTCCGGCACCCCTCCAATACGCCCCTACAGTGGGTGTATCAAGGGTCTGACTGATCCAGGGGATGGAGACCTAAACTGCCCCCCCTGAACCGGTTGCAAATATATATATATATATATATATATAAAAGAAGGGTATCGATTCGCCCGATACGCCCATACCGGCATGTCAGGCGTATCGATATTTTGAATCTTGCTGCCTAGTAGTGAAAGTAGAAAATAGACTTATTATAATCCATTATATAGGGGACCATAGAGAGTTACAGACTCCTGAGATGGCATGAATATATGAAGCACGCTGAAATAGTAACTAGTAAGATTGGAAAAATGACCAACTCTAACCTGGCACAGGCATGAATGTTTTACATATGCAAACTGACTTGGTGACTGCAATGAATTATGAGCCTAAAATTTTTTAATAAATAATAATTAGTTTTCTTAAAACCATATAATTATTTTTATTGCTTAACATCTTTCTGGTAAAAAAAGAATGGATTCACATAGTGAACCCCGTATAGTTGAATTAAGGTTTAGGTGATGATGATGAATATCTTTCTGGGTCAATAAATGATGCAAAACTCTGATAAATCTCAACAAGAGCAGGGTATGCCTGGAGACCTTATCTTTTGGATCAGGTGATCAGGAGGTTTAGGAGCCATTACATAATGGCTGAAGTAGCCAAATTGAATTATTTATTGCTTTTTCTTTTAGAAAATTAGTCATTAAGTACGAGCGCTCTAATGGTTGAATGGCATGTCAAACTGGTTGCTATACCCTAAATATTTTAGGGTAAAATACTTAAACATGCCCTTATTTTTCATAAATTGACTTATACATACCCTGAGTTTTTAAAAAAGACTTAAACTAGTTAAATATACCTTACGGACTGACCCCACTGGACTTGAACATACTCTCCATCAATGAAAAGGCATAAATGAATAGAAGGATAAAAAATAAAGATGGTCAACGGATTGGTTCAGTTAACAAAAAAAGAACATGAATGTGATTCTAACTTGGCACAGCAAGCTTGAACCCAACTTGTCTATCTTCGATAATGCAGAGATATTGATATAGCAAATAGGAGAAGCTCGGGTCTGGTTTAGATCCACACCAGTGAGTCCAAGAGTCAAGAATTTCTCCTCTAAATGCGTATGGTGCTCAATAAGCAGTTGGGTTTTGAATTTTTGATGGATGGCAATACGACATCCTGCTTAGACAGAGTGGGCTGTTGCGCTTAGACCCAAATCAGTTGGTAACCCATTGTCACTGACCTGGAATAGATTGATAGTGATAGGGTCCTGCCTTCACCTTCCCCACCCCCATCTCCAAGTCAAAAGTATCATGTCTTGTAATTCCTTTATCCCCTCAACAAACAAACATGTGTTTCGATTCATTAAGGTGAATATACAATAAAAAATTCACAAGGTAAAAGAACCAATCCATTGGCCAGGGTACGTTTTGAAAATTTGAAGGAAAATGAAGGATAAAAGAGTCACAAGGTATATTTAATCCTTTTTGAAAAACTCAGGATATATTTAAGTCGATTTATAAAAACTTAGAGTATGTTTAAGTCTTTTACCCAATACTTTATTATATGACTATTTTATCCACTAAAGACAAAGCAATAAGTCATTCAGTTAAGCAACTTCAGCCATTACTAGATGCCTTCTTAGAAAATATGTCAACTTGACCAAATGGGAATTGGTATACCAAGTTTTCAAAATAAGCAATAATAATATACAAAGAGAATAAGCTGAGTATAACAAAATAGAAACAGAGCAATGGAAACGAACCTGCTATTTGGGAGGTTTTTAAGGGCATTTGGCACAAATCCCCTGTATAATCCAATGAGACCATCACGTGCCACAATACCTGAATCAATACCATTAATTATGAGATAATGTCACTTGATGGCGGAATAAACCATTTCTACTACAGGTCAGAAGTACATAAACAATGAGAAAAGGCACCTTGTGGTACACAAGAATGGGGTTATCAACAATTAAACAATGCCAAGATCCCATCAACATAGTACAACCAGAAAACACTGTAGAAATTTCATTGCCAAATAACATGCATAACCAATAAAGATGTCATTAAGGTGATGTTTGGTACCGTGACTGTTTCTACTTGAAACACTGCCACATCAGCGCCACCTAGCTTGAGTTTAACCATCAATTTTCTGTTTGGTTGGAACTGTTTTGAGTTAAAACAGTCATAAAATGTTTCTACTAGAAACATAAACCAGGGGGTGTTGGGGGAAACATCAATTTAATCTTTTCTCCATCAGCTGTCCGTTTGAAGAAAAAGTTCAATGACTTGCCTCTTAGTTGGTGTCCTACATGGCAGTTTTAGAAATATATTCTGGTGCATTGCACACTAGCAAAGATGGATAAACAACACCGAATAGGCGAATACCTATAAACCCTACCTCCAAAACAAAGATTCTTTTTCGGCTTTGTGCTTCTAGAACCATTAGATCTGTATCTAGATGTTAATCTATGTGTAATAATGAGCCAATCATCAGAAAACATTTATTTTAAAATTTGACCATTGGATGAGAACCAGTACGGTAGGGTGGTGTCACATTGAATATAAACATTTAGGTAGCAAGGCCAATACCAAACCCAATACTGGTCAAGACACTTGTGCAACACCTAGTCAGCATAAGTACCAATGAAACAAGTTTCATTGTCAAAACGCCTAGGAATTTTGGCATGAAATGCCATTGCCTCTCTAAACATTTGAGCCTGAAATGACGATGGTACCAAACACAACCTAAGAAATCAATGGCCCCATATGTTAACAGGAAATAAAAGAGAATAACATATCCTTAACTTCTAAATAATGATTGTTTGGGATTACAGGGAATGCATTGGAGAGAGAAATTCTATTCAGGCTGAGGTCGTGGCATTCCTATTTGGCCCTATGGTCACTGCTCCTGGGAATCCTTTTTTCCTTTAGTATAAGGTACTTATTAGGGGTCATCATTGCTACCCCAGCATGGAGGACCTGTCCTCTCCATCCTGGCCCTATATTTCAGGCCTAGTGTGTGGGCCCATGATCACTCCTAGTAGTCATGAGATTAGACTGTTATTGGGGCACCTGCCCATGTTTTGAGATGGATTCATAGAGATCTGAATGTAATTCTTGATGATCTTGCTAGGTTGGAGATTAATAAATGTATAGCAAATCTTCATTGCTATAAGAGTTTGTATCTGCTGCGTGGCCATACAGCTTGTGATTGACTTATATTTTTTGTTTAATATAGGAGCATATACATCACCATTTTTCTTATATATTTTGTGTTTGTGTGCAAAAAAAAAAAAATCAATGAATTACTTTGAAGAACTAGTACCACAGTCTTACCTGGAAAGGCATCCAGAACTGTCTTGTATGGGGTTCCTTTCATTTGCATTTGCCTCCTTACAGTGTCTAAAGGGTAGCACATTAGCGTGGCAAGAGTTGCTGACACAAGAGCTGTTGCAAGTGATGCTTCTGTCCTCTTCTGATACTTCTCTGGCAGAGCTTTCTTCACCCTACAGTTAAGAAAGAAGGCAATTTTGTAATCAGTTTCATTACACCCCCCTTGGAAAACATAAATATACACGGAAAGAAAGCATATAACCAGAAGAGTAAGCTTACAAATCAAAAATGCAAAAATTCACAGCAATGTAAGGAGCTATTCCAATAAGAGAAGGTCCAAGACCATTATAAAATGAACCAATTCCTTCTTCTCTTAGCATGTTAAGCGCAACCTGAAACAACCCACCAGAGTTTGTTATGCCACTGAAGAAGAATTCTATATTTTACACATCTAACACAATGATTTTTACCTCAGACATGGTTTTGTACCCGGGTTCAACTGCTAACCTTAACCTCAGAACATCTAAAGGATATGTCACCTACAAAGGTTATGAAATCAGAACTTAGAACACACAACATAAGAGAGGGAGAACCAATAAATGCACAAAATTATGAACAAAGTACAAAAATTGCAATATTTTACAGCTAATAAATGGAAGGAATGTAAAGCATATGTCCAGGGGATTGAACCCTAGTAGTCAACTGGTTTCACCAAGGAATTTTCATTCATGATGAGTAAAATATTGATGCCACACATATGACAATTCCAGAGGTACAAAAACAACAAAGGAAAATCAACTAGAATTAGTAAAGCAAGTTCAAGGTGCTTACAAGGGTGGAAGTCATGCCAGCACAAGCCCCTGCTGCAAGTCTTCCAAGAACAGAAAGCTCTCCATTCTCTCCTTTAAAAATTTTCTATAACCCCCAAAACAGAAAATAGATCACAATTCTTGAACAAAACTGACTATGATTTTTTTTGTCAAAAAAAGGACTATGAATCCATGATATAACATATAAAGTTTCAGTAAAGAATGTTCAGAAGGTTACCTTATAAGTTTCGTATGCAAAAAGCTGGACAGCACTGTAAGGTATTATGCGGATCACCTGGTATTAACCAATAGAAATGCTCAAAATCAAAAATGGAAACTTAATCCTGCCTTTAAGCTATAGGATGATGCAAATTACCTGAGGAAGGTTGCCTTTCCAGTACCCTTTAATTCCCTCCTCCTTTCCAATCAGTGCAAGGGCCTGGAGTTAACATTCGATATGACACCATGGTTCAACATGAAGTTAACAGATAGGATGAAGTCATGAAACATTCAAATAATCCCCAACAGACCATCACAACTAGTATAAGGAAGTTTAATGAATTCATTAATTCTTGTGAGTTATGAGAGTTTCCTTTACTACAAGCTCTTCACTTGGTCCAACTTCCAAGAGAACCCGACTTGCTCTAAGCTTGACAGATTTCTATTCAATGAGGGTTGGGAAAAGCCATTGGAGAGGTTTGGTGGCAAAGGCTTTACCTAGGGTTACCTCTGACCACTGCCCTATAGAAGTCAGACAAGAACCTTTTGGAACCGGACCTAAGCTTTTCAGGTTTGAGAATATGTGATTTAACACATCCGGATTTTGTGAAAAAGATTGAGGAATGATGGAGTGAAGAGTTGAGGGGGGTGAAATGGAAAGGGGCTAGATTCCATAAGAAATTAAAGAGGTTGAGAGCTAAAATAAAAGAGTGGAACAGGGACCATTTTGGCAGGGTGGAGGAAGCATACTCTATTGAATCAGATTGAGAATTTTGATGCCAAAGAATCCTAGAGGACAATGAGTTTGCAAGCTAGAGAACTGAGATGGAAGTTGAAAAAGGATCTAGAGGAAGTTCTTCTGAGGGAGGAGATATTGTAGAGGCAAAAATCTAGGCACAAATGGATCAAGGAAGGGGATGGGAATACTAAGTTCTTCCATGCCATGGCTAAAGGGAGAAGAAGGAAAAATCCGATAGTAAAACTAGAGGTGGATGTTGATCTAACTTCTCAGGAGGAGATTTCTAGTGGTTGTCTCACTTCAAATCAATCTTCCAACGACCTTTAGAGAATAGAGTAAGAGTGGAAGAGGAGGCTAGAAAGAAGGATTGAGGAATAGGAAATTAGACAAGTCGTCTTCTTAATGGATAGAGCTAGGGCACCGGGACCAAATGGGTTTACAATGGCATTTTATCAGGATTGATGGGATATAATAAAAGAAGGCTTAGTTGGGGTTATCAGAGTGTTTGAGGATAAACATGTTGTGAGCCCTGGAATCAATGCCACTTTCCTAGCTCTAGTTCCTAAAAAGACCGATGCCAAACATCCCAAAGATTTTAGGCCAATTAGTCTGGTGACGAGCATGTATAAGATCTTGACGAAAGTGCTTTCTAGGAGAATCAAAGTAGTCTTCTCTCATTAGCCAAGCACAAGGAGCCTTTGTATAGGACAGCCAAATTATAGATCAGATCCTCATTGGTAATGAAAGTGTGGAGGAGATGAGGAGATCTGGTATGCAAGGCTTTGTATGCAAACTAGACTTGGAAAAGGCCTATGACGTAGTGCATTGGAGTTTTTTTATTGGAGGTGTAAGGCATAGTTTTGGGAACAAATGGTGTAATTGGATAAATGATTGCCCAAAGTCCTATTACTACTTAGTCTTAGTCAATGGGGCGGCGAAGAACTTCTTTCCAGCCATCAAAGGCCTAAGACAAGGTGACCCACTCTCTCCATTCCTCTTTACTCTTGTTGCTGATGTGTTAAGTAGATTGATTTCTAAAGCAGATGAGGAGGACCTAATAAGAGGTTGGAGATTAGGGAGGAGAGACATTCCAGTTATCCACCTTCAGTTTGTTAATGGTATTGCTATCTTCTGTGAAGGGAATGAGTTAAGTAAGGTGGACAACATTAAAAGTTTAATAAGAGACTTCGAGCAATCTTCCAATTTGAGGATAAACTTGGATAAAAGCTGTGTGGCTGGAATAAATTTGGAGGTCTGGGAGGTAGAATCCATTGCAGGGTGCTTAGGTTGTGCCATCTCTCCTTGGCCTTTGAATTACTTAGGTCTTTCCTTAGGAGCTAATCCTAAAGAAAGCAGTTTCTGGTCCCCTATTGTGGAGAAATTTGGTAAATATTTGGCAGCCTAGAAAAAGAACTACATCTCCATAGGGGGAAGGGTGACTTTGATTAGGGCCACACTTGCTAACCTTCCTACTTCCTGTCTGTCTTTAAGGTCCCCCCAAGGGAGGCTAAGAAACTAGAGAAGATCATGAAGGATTTCCTATGGGAATTAGGGGAGGTGAAGAAGGATCACATAATTAGATGAGAGATAGTGACCAAATCTAAGGAAGAAAGGGACCTGGGGATAGGAAACTTAGTGCAAAAGAATGAAGCCCTCCTAGGTGGTGTCATGTATTCATGGATACTCAAGAAATGGTTGGGATGCCGAGATATCTTGTCCAGCTACCCTCACAACACCTTGGAAAGCCATACATGGTATTCTACCTTGCTTCCTTAGGTTTGTCAGGTATGATGCTTGTTCTGGTAATTCTATTCAGTTCTGGGAGGATATTTGGGTGGGCAACCAACCCCTCAAGGATCGGTTCCCTTCCTTATACTCCCTTTCCCTTTACAAAAATGAGCCAATTTCAAAGTGTCTCTTGGAACCGTTGCTTCCCTTATCCTTAAACTAGGACTTTGGGTTTTGAAGGGGTCTAAGGAACGGTGAGTTTACTTGTGTTACTGAGTTGCTTCATTTACTTGAATCAGTTTGTTTGGACCCCACAAAACCTGATGAAAGAGTCTGGACTCCCTTACCCAAAGGTACCTTTATTTGCACTTCTTTTCTAAAATCTCTACGGTTCAGCTTAAACCCCTGAGAAGTTTGGGCAAGACCTATTCCCCCCAAAATTGTTGTTTTCTGCTAGGAAGTTTACTATGGGAAAATCAATACTTTGGAAAACTTGCAGAAAAAGAGACATCTTCTTTGTCTTTCCCTGAATTGGTGTTCCCTCTGTAAGGCCCAAAGTGAGGACTGCTTCCATTTACTGATATCTTATTCTCTTGCTGCAGAGCTATGGAATTGGAACTTTAGTTTATTTGGTTGTAGGTAGATCCAGCCATCTGATGTAAGCTTGCTATTTAATCCTTCTATTTTTGGGTGGCATACAAGGAGAGGTAAAATCATGTGGAAATGTCTTAGGGCAGCTACCTTATGGACTGTTTGGGAGGAAAGGAATGCTAGAATATTCCTAGAAAAGGAAAGAAGCTTGGCTGAGTTGAAGGACTGTGTTTTGACAAAAGCAATCCATTGGTTGAAAACTTTGGATGTGTTTGCTGATTTTTCTTTTGATGACCTATGGAGGAATTGGCCAGCAGTAGCTAATACCTCTACTAAGAAGAATAAAAGAGTTATAGAATGGAACCTCCCCCGGAAGGTGTCATCAAACTAAACTTTGATGGGAGCAACCAAGGTAACCCCAGGCCTTCAGGTGTAGGGGGTGTGCTGAGGGATAAGGAAAGCAACATTGTGTCCTTGTTCTCAGGGCCAGTGGGAGTGGGAGATTCTACAAGGGCAGAACTACTAGCAGCTGTACAAGGTATCCAGATCGCCAACCAGCTTGGGTTGGAACATTTGCTATTTGAAGGGGATTCTCAGGTGGTAATAGGCTGGCTCTCAAACCCGGATGCTGTCCTTTGGGGATACAAAGACCTCCTCAAAAAAGTGAAGTGGCTAACTAGTAATATGAGAGTGGATGTTAAATGGGTGCACAGGTCAGAAAATACTATGGCTGATTCTCGGGCCAAACTTGGGGTTTCTAGGGAAGATTTTTTTTTTTTTGTGCTACCTTGTAACTTGTTTTAGTGTGTTGGGAAGCTGTTCTTAACTAGTATGGAGAGGTCGCATCTTGTGCCTCTCCTTGGGGATCTTGTACTTTCTTATTTTTTGTGATTAATAAAATTTATCATTTATCAAAAAAAAAGTCAAGAAACATGCATTAATAAAGATAGAAGACATCATAGTGAGAACTTAACTGTCATATGTCCATAGAATTATGTCAAATAACAGAAACTCTAGATCATTCAAAAGATAGGCTTAATATTCTCTCACCCCCCATATCCTTCAATAAAAAAAAGCCACTTAAAAAAGGGGACAAGAAGAAAAAGAGAGACCAAAACAGATATCTTCAGCATGCAGTATCTGAAGTATGGGTAATAGCTAAAGTCGCATGTAGTAGCATAGCTGTATTTAAAAGTATAAAGGTCCTCTTCTATTAATGTTTGTTGAAACTTGGATTTGTAATTATTCCCTGAGAATGTTTGGGGAATATGCATACCATTCAATATCCAGTATATAGCTGCTCAAATGCTCAATATATTTGTAATTATTCCCTGAGACTGTTTTGGCATATCATGGATCTTTCTGAACAACATTTTGGACCTTCCTACTAGTTGGGTGTGGGATCATGGACAAAAGAAGAATGGTTCTCTAGACTAACACATTTTTCTGTGCTTTTATGGGATATTTGGGTGGAAAAGAAAATAATTGTTTGAAAGACAATGATGTCCCCATTCAAGATATTCCCTGAAAAGTTTTATATCAACAGCCCTCCACAATGTCTACATCAGTTCTGTCCAGATAAATTAATGGCAGTGATAATTCTCCCAAGGTAGAGTTGGGTGTTTAGTTCCTATATTATCCCTTTAGGTGCACCAAGTGATTGAGACTGCTCACCTTGTGAAGATGAAGTTTGATGGGGTCTTTCTTGGAAATGTGGGTCATTTTTTATTGGTCAATCTAGAGACTAGGGAAATTGAGTTTGCTTTCTCAGGCCTTGGTGAAGTTGATTCTAATCAACTCAAGATTCTTGATCTTCACAAAGACCTCAATCCTCCAAAGATCTTACCAATAAGCATAGTTTCACTAAAAGGAACTCTAAGAATGCACAAGTATCTAAGGTGAAGAAAGATGATTTTTGTGATAATTGGTGAGAAATTAAGCAGAAGAGCAAGAAATAAATGATAAAAATTAAAAATAATAGAAAAAAATGAGAGAGAGAGAGAGAGAGACTTGGTTACAACCAGAATTCACTAAACTAAACTATTATCATCAATCAACTCTTAAATTTTCAATTATAATGACTATTTATAGACTAGCAACAAGAATGGGATCTCCCTTTAAAGACTCCAGATCCAACTTGAAAGTGACCAGAAATGACTACCAATTGCATTAGGACCAAAGCAAACTCATGTATAACTCATACATAAACTCTAACACGGACTTGAACTCTTAAAATAAGTCCAAATATCTTTACGAAAACTAAACAAACCATAAAAAACTTAAAAAAAAAAAAAAACTAAAAAATAGAAAGACTAAAGCCCATCAGAAAATAACACCTTCAATACTAAAACGCCTATAACCTCCCAAAACACATTTGATACACAAGATCTTTGTCTCCTTCAAAAGTAATTGAAATGTCTATCTAATAACATAAAGACCAAGTCAAATGGATACATTTTGACCCCTTAGACTTAAGAGTGCAATAAAAGTAGCACTATTGCAACCTCAACTTTTTCAAAAATATAATAACTTTTTATATACAACTCTTTAAACTAATTTGACCCTTTAAGATGATTGATCCTGTTCCTACAACACCAACAAATTACAAAATAACTCCTAAAAAACTTAATATGGAAAAAGTTTGAATCACTCAAGAATTATGAAATTGCCCCTGATGCAATAATCTGAAGTAAAAAACCTTAATTTCTTCTTCTATCTTCTCTTTCACTTTTTTCCATGTTTGCATCAGCCTCACAAGTGCTTCTTGGAACATGGATACTCCCAATTCCTTCCATCCACCACATCATAAAGAACTGTAGCTGATGGGTGCATGTTTGCTCCATATATCTAAGCATTTAAGTAAATGGCTGCTCATCCTCTTCACAGAATGTACACAGTGAAAACTCCGTTTTAAAAAAAGCTATATGAAAAGCAAAGAATGGCCAAAGAGATTGCTTGCTATACAAATCTGAGCGAAATGTTGATAGCTTACTAGAAATTTACACAATGAATAGATTCTAAGATATGTGACATCATTAAGGATTAAAAAACCAATGGTAATGGGAAGCTGTAAGTTCACCTCAATGAAACCTACTCCCTTCTTCAAACTCTCTTGCCCAGCCCGTAAACCATGAGTCTGCAAAAAAACAAAAAAAATGATACATGTAAAGCAATTAGCTGCATTTCCAAAACCAAACCAACAAATACCTTTTTGATAATAAAAATATTGCTTCAAAAACAATAGAAAGAATACTGAATTCCACTATTTCTGTTTTAGGACATCCCTCCCTATCTTGCAGAAAAGAGTATATTACGAAGACAACTCTCCTTGAGGGAAAAATATATCAAGAAAGTAATTACAAAATGCACCAATTATTTTGAAACTTAATAAACCAAAACAGAATAAAAATGAACCAATGAAAACTACCCCACAAATCCATCATTTCCAGCAAACCCACTGACAAGAAAAAACAAAATGTGAAGCAGTAAATCATGGTTTCATACTTTCCGAACAAAGAAAATTCAAATTTGACTGAGAGCGCTACAGTTAAGCAAGCTATTGGAAGGAACCACACTAATTAAAAAGAAACACTAATTCAAAATCAGAAGCAAACCTAATTTTTATTTGCACGCAAGAAAAGAAAAGGAGAAGAGATGGGTTCTGAGGTACAGCTCGGGTAAACGCTAAATTGTATGACAGAGGACGAGAGAGAATTCCAACATATTTTAACTGAACAAAAGCGATATGAAGTTTAGATTACCCCAAGAAACAAAACAATTCAAACAATCCAACTTGCAAAATCCAGCATTATTTTCAAAATCAGAAGGAAACCCATTTCCAGAAGCTTGCAAAAGGAAGTTAAGGAAAATGTTGAATTGGACAGCAAAAGGATAAGGAATTATGGAAGCATTGGATTGAAGACCTGCATGAGCAGCTTAGCTCGGTCAAGAGGGGCCGTGACGGTCTTGGCCGCAGCACCGGCTATTGCTCCCGCGACGAAGAGTGCTGCGTCTTTCGGCACGAAAGCCAGCAACGCCAATGGGTGCTTCAAGAGTTGCTCAGCCGTCGGAGAAAACACTTTTTTCTCGCTCTTCTCCACCAATGAAACACAAGCAAAAGCACCGCCACCTCCCCACCTCTTCCTCCATTGTGCATGCTCTGTTTCTTCACTGAAACACCTCCTAGACCTTTCAAGACCAGGAATCTTTCGCCAGACCAACTTGCCCTCCTCCCTCATCTTCTCAACAGAACTTCAAAACACGAAATGTTGGTTCTCGTCTGTGTTCCAACGAGAAAGGAAGGAGAAGATAAGGCAACGAGGTTGTTGCAGAGAGAGGGAAACAGGAGAGAGAATTATTTTTTGTTTTGTTTCTATTGAGTATTGGCAACCTTCTTTTTGCTTTTTAACTAATTAATTAATTATCATGTTTTTTATGTGTTTTGATCTCGCGAAGCTTTAATGGAGGATTAATGGAGCTTCGTGGTTTTTTTTATTGTTGGTAATAAGAGCTTCGTTACTTTGACCAGAAAAGAAATCAAAAAAAGGAGCTTAGTTGGTTAGCCTAGCCTGAGCCTCAGATCTTCTAAAGCCACGCGAGGCCTTACACATTGGGCCTTGTAGTTGGGTCCTCATGGGCTTCTGGGCTTGGCCTTACTATTCCTCTATGCCAATACACCAACATGGGTTGTGGTGAAGCCCTAACACTTCTGCCGTTCTTCATCAATTCACCACTTAGCTCCTGATCATCAACTAAAAAGAATTTACATCTGCGCCCCACAAACGCCCCATAGCATATCCCAACCGTGGATTGGGAACATCTTCCACTGGCAACTTCGGGAGATGTTCCCATTGCATGCTGAGATGTGTATGTGGGGCGTTTCTGGGGCGCAGATGTGATCTCCAACAAAAATGATGAGAGCACTGAACTTGTTGGTAGTTCAAATGTCAAATTTGACTTTCAGGTAGAAACAGCAATTCTGTAGCTTGTTGGTAGCATGAGGTTTGGATCCTCTAAAGCCACGTGGCTATGCAAGGAATTACACGTTGGGGTAGGGATGTGCTACCAACGAAATGCTCCCTTGTCATTCATGTCAAGATGTTCCCGATCTATGGTTTTAATGGCTGGTTGGAACACTGTTGGGACCATCTGTTGGTAGCTGATCCAAACTTTACACATTGGGCTTGATGGGCTTGGCCTTACTTGGCTATGTCAGTACAAGAACATGGGCTGTGGTGAAGCCCTAGCACCTGTGCTGTTCTACGTGACTAGTGACTACGTCAATCGACCACTTAGCTCCTTGATCATCAAGCTTGTGTTTGGGGTGCTGTTTCTGTGTGAAATATTTTGGATTGATTAATGCAAATCGATGAAAAAACACGTTGTCACATCACATATGAGAGTCACGACTTTTATGTAGAAACAGCAATTTGTAGTTTCATTGGTAGCTTGACTCCCATGTCTCTGACTTAAAAAATTGGTTGGGGTGACAATATTAACCCTAACCCTAACCCATTTGACCCACCCATTTAAGATGAGGGTTATTATGGGTTGAGTCATCCATTTGGATCAGGAGAAGAGGGTTAGGGTAGGTTGGGTTGAGGGTACCCATTGGGATGTAAAATCAATTGGGTTGAGGGAAGGGTCAAAATTGTAAGGGACAAGGGTCAAGCTTGGTGGAGTCTCGACTGTGTTGTGCTTTGTACTGCCAAATCGCCAGGTTGAGGGGAGAAAGTTAGGTCGCCATTCTCATCAAAACCGCCCATGATTTTCTCCCTTCTCCCTTCTTTCTTTCTCTCTCCCTCTCTTTGTTTCTTCTTCTTCAAAAGGTTGGGCTCGCATAGCAGATCTCTCTCTGCTTTTCCGCCATGAGAGAGTTTGAGTTCGCAAAACAGATCTCTTTCTGCTCTTTCCACCATGGCAGAGGTTGCATTCAATCTCAGATTCGCACTAGATCTCTTTCTGTTCAAACCCAGATATGTGTTCATTGTCTTCCTCTATTGAACATAGGGTGAAGTTGAAAACATAGATCCACTACCGGAGAAGATCACGCTAGATTTGGTTCAAACCCAGATTTGTGTTCATTGTATTCCTCGGTGAAGACAGATCTGGGTTCACATGTAAAGAAGATGGAATCAGATTTTTTTTTTATTTTCTCATATTTTTCTACGTTTTTTGAAATTTTCTATTAATTCAAAAAATTGATGGAAACTTCTATGAAAAAAAAATTCTACATTTTTATGTTTTATTTTCTTGCATTGTAAAATTCAGAAAAAAAAATCTATCAATTTTTGTAATTTTCATACATTTTTTATATTTGGTTTCTTGTACTTTTGTTATTTATTTGCATTTTTTACTTTATTATAATTTTTTTGTTTATTTTGCAATTTTTATATTTTTCCAATTTTTTATGTTTCTTGTAACTTTTTTATTTTCTTTGCATTTTATCATTTTTCTAAATGTTTCATAATTTCTGTTGCTTTTATTGCATCTTATACATTTTCCTGATTTTTTTTGTAATTTTTTGTTTTTTCTATATTTTTTATAATTTCTTCAGTTTTTATGTAATTTCTATTTTTCATGTTTTATATTTTTCTAAATTTCTGCATTTTGTATTTTTTTGCAATTTTCTGTTTTTATGTGAAATGATGCTTTCATTTAAATTTTTTATTTTTTATATAATTTTCTATGTTCTATATTCATTTTCAGTGTTTTTGTGGATTTTATTTTTATTTAAAAAATATTTTTTGAACTTTTTATCATTTTTATTTTCTCTTAATTGATATTAAATAGAAAAGAAATTAAAAAAAAAGTCACAATTTGGGTTTGGGTGGGTCATATAGGTGGTCAAATCATGGGTCATATATGGGATGAATTGTGACCCATTAACATCAATAAATATGAATGAAAAATGGGTTGAAGGGTCAATATGAATGGATTGATATTCAACTTAACCCAATTTACCCATTTGCCACTTCTAAACATTGGGCCATGGAATAGAGCTGAAGTCTTCTGTACGAAGTAGTTTAGTGCCCAGTTGGGAAGGCTTTTAATGTTGCACATTTTTTTGACTTTTGTGAGGTGAGAAGCATCCAGAATGCCTATAAACAGTGGTTGGAGAGCCCAAATTGATTATTTTTCAGCTGGTTACATGATATTTCATTGAAGCTTTTTTGGGAGAGCTGAAGCACAACGGTATCCAACCATTTAAAGCTGTTTGAAATTTTGAATAACTTATCGAAGCACTTCAAAGCAATGAACCAGCTTAGCTGAACCTTCAGCTCAGCCCTCCTCAAATGGGCAGCAGCTCAGCTAAAGCAATTCAACCAAAAGCCAATATATATACTCAATAAAAAATTAATATGGTAGTGTTTGGTGGAGCACTACCCAAATTTTAAAAGAAAAGGGTAGTTGGTTTTGTGGGTCTCCTTTTTGCGTACATCTTGATTCCCACGACCCATTAAATACTAAATGCTTATACGAATGGTTGTGGGCCTAATAAAAAGAGGGTTGAAAATTTGAATTTGGATTTGGTGCTCACAAATTTGTGTTTACACTGTTTTCACAGCCCTTTTCAACTGTACATTGGGAATATAGGAATATCTCGCCATAAATAAAAAAATATTAAGTATGGAGTTATTCCTAATACACAGTTAAAAAGGACTGTGTGGTTGACTGGTTATACAATTGAAAGAGTCAATCGGTTTATTGGTTCAGTTACCCATCAGTTTGGTTTGTCAATTTGTTGGTTTTTTATTTTTACAATATATATTATAAATATATACATAAAATATGATATTTTAAATAATAAATAATATATCATATATTATAAATATATATATTTATTAATTTATAATATATAAAAAATATATATGATGTAATCGTTTCTGGTCATGTATCATTTTTTTTGTGATATATCAATTTATTTGGCTAAGTGCCTCGTCATTTGACCTGCTCCTAGGAGAGGATGGTGGAGTTCCCTGGTGGTGAACTGCCTAGTGGTGAGTTACTTGGTGACGAACTCCCTAGTGGTGAGCTACCTGGTGACGAGCTCCCTGGTGGTGAGTTACCTGGTGACGAGCTACTTGGTGACGAGCTCCCTAGTGGTGAGCTGCCTAGTGACGAGCTCCCTGATGGCTAACTACCTAGGGGAGAGCTATGCCGAGCTCCCTGATGGCGAACTGCCCAGGGGAGAGCTATGCTGAGCTCCCTGGTGGTGAGCTACCTTGGTGGACTCGTCATTTGACCTGCTCCTAGGCGGCCTGTAACTCAAAGGATGGTGGAGCTCCCTGGTGTAGCGCAACCCAACTGCCCTCTGCATGAGGTGATCTCCTCTCCTTTGTAGGCGGCGAGAGCTGAGGGATCTGCGAGAACTCCATCTTTTCCTCCTCTTTGTAGGCGGCGGGAGCTGAGGAACCTGCGAGAACTGAACCAGGGGGCCAGGGGTATTTACCCGACGGGGACTCTCCGATGCCTAAGTTAGCACTCTGATTGTCGAGAGCTTGAAGATGATATTAGAGGAATGAGAGAGTTAGAGAGTAGGGATTACCTCCATTTTTTCCTTCTCCCCCTTGCCTTTGGGGGTTGGAGTCCTTATATAGCGGTGTCCTGTCAAACCAGGCGTGACCGCCTCTGTCAAGTCAGGCATAACCGCCTCTGTCTCTCTGCCGCAGTCGTCGCTATCAGAGCTGAGGCGACGGGTGCAGGCGACTGTTGCAGAGTACAGCTCTGCCAGGCAAGGCGCCGCTTGGCGAGAGACGTGGGCGCAGGTCTCCAGATCTGTCAGGTACGATTGTTAGGCAGGAGATCTTCTTGCGATACGCCAAACTGCTCTTCTGTACCGAGCTACCCTACAAGTGGCGAGCTGCCCGGGGGAGCTATGCCGAGCTCCTTGGGCTATGTCGAGCTTCTTGTGGCGAGCTCTGCCGAGTTACCTGGCTCCTTGGTGGCGAGCTCCTTGGAGAGCTGCCTAGCTCCTTGGCGAGCTCCTTGGTGAGCTACCGAGCTCATGGGGTATGCATGTCGAGTTTATCAGTGGGCGTCTTATGGGTTGCCAGGGCGGCCAGGTCAGGTTGTGTGCCAGGCTGATCCAGGTCGGCTAGGTCGGCCAGGTCGGATCATGTGCTAGGCTGATCCAAGTCGGCTAGGTCGGTCAGGTCGGATCATGTGCCAGGCTGATCCAGGTCGGCCAGGTTGCGCAGGCCGCGCGTAGGCCGCGCCAGGCAGTGCGCAGGCCGTGCGCCAGGTAGTGCGCAGGCGGCGCGCCAGGTAGCGCGCAGGCCATGTGCAGGCCGCGCCAGGCTAAGCCAGGCCGGCTAGGCCGGTGCCCAGGTGGGACACCAACTTGGTAAGTTGTTGC